AACTTTAAAAAGTCACCATCACCAGCATAAAGGTGCTGAGAAAACAATTAAACCTGAAAGATTTGATAAGTCCCTAGGGTCAGATTGTCTACATTCTAGGGTCTTAAAAATTTACTGTAGAGAAAGTAGAGAAATGGTTGCAATCTTCAAAAATTCTATAGATGCTGAATGAGTCCCAGCAGATTAGAAAGTAATGAAGAAACTTTATTCTAAGAAAGCAGGGATAGAGAAAGCAGGGAAACTTTTGGGCAGCCAGCTTAACATCTGTCATTGGGAGATTCCTAGAGTTTATAGCAGGATACTCAGAAAATCAGAATGTGAACACACAGAGTCAACATGTCTTTGTGAAAGGGCAATGTTTTGTTAGCATTGTTTGAGGAAGTAACGATGAAGGTGGGATTATGGGAAGCTGTGAAGGTTACTTGGGTTTCCACAACACATTTGATGAGGTATCACCTCAAAGGCTAATATACAAAATAAGACCTCATGATGTGAGGGGTAAAATATGAGCACCGACAAAGATTTGGTTAGTTAACCAAAAGCAGAGGAGAGAGATAAATCAGTGTTTTTAAAATTGGCAAACTGTATATAGTGGAGTGCCACAAGAATCCGTGCACTGGCCTTAGTTATTTGCAATCTATACCAATGAGTTGGATGTGAAGATTGAATGTATGACAGCTAAATTTGGCAATGAAACAAAGAAATGGAAAATATTGACCGATGGGTATAACATGGAAAATTAAACCTGTCCACCTTGGCAGGAAGAATAGAAAAGCAATATCTTATGTAACTGGAGAGAGATTGTAGAATTTGTAGAATCTGAGAGATTTGGATGTCCTGGTACATGAATCACAATACGCATTACTATCTAGGCACTGAAAGCAATTAGGAAAGCAAATAGAATGCCGGTGTTTATTGCAAGGAGAATGGAGTATAAAAGTAGGGAAATCTTAATGTAGGGTCTTAGAGAGAGCTCATCTGAAGTACTCTACAATTTTGGTCTCCTTATTTGAAAAATGATCAACCTGCATTAAAATTAGTTCAGAGATCAGTTTGCTCAATTCATTCCTGGATGAAGGGCCAATCTTATGTGGAAAGGTTAAACATGTTGGGCTTTTGCCCAGTTGAGTTTACAAGCATGAGAGGTCATCATATTGAAACATATATGATCCTGAGGGGATTTGATAAGGTCGACTCTTTTTCCACAAGAAACTACAGAATTGTGAACGCAGCCCAGTCCATCATACAAACCAGCCTTCCATCCATTTATACTGCCTGCTGCCTCAGGAAAGCAAACAACATAATCAAAGACTTCTGCCACCCTGGATATAGTTTCTTCCACCCTCTTCCGTTGGGCAGAAGATTTAATAGTTTGAATACACGTACAAATAGATGCAAGAACAGCTTCTTCCCCACTATTTTCAGAATTTTGAACGAACCTCTCAAATGTTAATTCTCTCTCTGCAGCTGAAACGCTGTATTCTACACTCTGTTCTGCTACCCTGATACACTTTGTATGGTACAATCTGCTATCTGGCATGCAAAACAACACCTTTCACTGTAACTCAGTACATTTGACAACAATAAATCAATCAATCAATCGTAGGAGAGATTGCAAATAGAGACAAAGTTTAACAATGAGAAATCTCACTTTTAAGAGGGAAATGGAGAGAAATGTTTGTCTCAAAGAGGGTCTTTAGCCTTTGGACTTCTTTTCCTGATGGAATAGTTGAGTCTATTTAACTGAGGGGAGGCAATGGCCTAGTGGTATTATTGCTGGACTGTTAACCCAGAGACCCAGATAACCTTCTGGGGACCTCGGTTTGAATTCTGCCATGGCAGATGGTGGAATTTGAATTCAATGATTATTTGGAATTGAGAGTCGAATGATAACCGTGAATTGATTGTTGGGGTAAAAACCCATCTGGTTCGCTAATGTTCTTTAGAGAAGGAAACTGTCATCCTTACCTGGTCTGGCCTACATGTGACTCTAGACCCACAGCAATGTGGTTGACTCTTACCTGCCCTCTGGGCAATTAGGGATGCCTAGCCAGCAATGCCCTCTTCCTGTGAATGAACTGAGTTGCAGAGATTTTTGATAGACAAGGGGGGAAAATGGAGTTAAGACCACAATGAGATGAACCATGATCTTATGGAATGGATGCAGATTCAAAGGGCTGAACTCCTGCTGCCATATCCCACGTTCCTATATCTTTTGTTCAGTCAAATGCATCAATCACAGACAACCTAGTTAGAAAGGGGATATGTTGATTGCCTCCTTCCTCCTTCTTCTTCCTTAGACGCTCACTAAATACTTGGTGACTAGGACCGTGCCCTACAGGGAGAGGCTGTGCAGGATGCAGTGTATAAAGAGGGAATTGCGACACATAGCACGAAGAGCAGCAAATGTATGATTTAAACAACACAATGGTCTGCTCAATCACAATTTAGGTGATAAACTCAGCCTTATTACGTTACCCTACCCTGCTGTGCCTAGGTAGCACTTTATGACTAACTCCTCAGCAAGAATCCCCAGTTCATTAGCATTTCAGGCAGGATACCCCAAGCTATTAAATTTATGGGTGGGGAGCGGTGGCTGTCTCCCCTTCTTTATCAATTCACTCCCTTTCCCCAGTTAGTCATAACAAGGTTAATTTAAAAATAAATTACTTCCCTTGTGAATACCATCTTCCCACAATAACTGAATTTATGTTTTAAAAGGGGCCAATTTAACTAGCCTTTCTTAACAAAACAGTGAATTTATAATATAATAAATATAAGAAATGATAACATAACACACATACATGGAGCAAAAACAAAAACAAAGTTGCTGGAAAAGCTCAGCAGGTCTGGCAGCATCTGTGAAGGAAAAAACAGAGTTAACGTTTCGGGTCCGTTGACCCTTCCTCAGTTCTGCTGCCAGACCTGCTGAGCTTTTCCAGCAACTTTGTTTTTGTTCCTGATTGACAGCATCCGCACTTCTTTTGGTTTTTATTACACATACATGGAGGTTTGAAATGGGAAACGAGGAGAAAAAAAGGATAGAGGTTCTGAAAAAAAGAAAGTTCAGTCTGAGCCATAAATCATAGTTATCTACAGGGTGAATGGAATAATTTTCAACCTCAACCAGTTGAAGCCCAAGAAAGAAACACCAACCTCGCTCCAGGAATTTCAGCATGCAGATTTTTGTTTTCCTCACTCGAGATGTGGGCTGACCAGCATTTATTGCCCATCCCTAGTTGCCCTTGAGAAAGTGGTGGTGAGCTGCCTTTATGAACCATTGCAGTCCACATGCCATTAGGAGGGATTTCCAGGATTTTGACCCAGTGACACTGATATATTTCCAAGTCAGGATGGTGAGTGGCTTGGTGGGGAACTTGGAGGTGGTGGTGTTCCCATATATCTGCTGCCCTTGTCCTTCTAGAAAGAAGTAGTTGTGGGTTCGGAAGGTGCTGTCTGAGGAGCCTTGGTGAATTTCTGCAGTGCATCTTGTAGATAGTACATACTGCTGCTACTGAGCGTCGGTGGTGGAGGGAGTGGATGGTCATGGATGTTGTACCAACAATTTGGCTGCTTTGTCCTGGATGGTGTCAAGTTTTATGAGTATTGTTGGGGCTGCACTCATCCAGGCAAGTGGGGAGTATTCCATCACACTCCTGACTCATGCCTTGTGAGAATGACTTGTGAGAATCTTCAAGCCTTGCTTTACACTTTCACGGAAGCATTCCTAAGTATTGGTCTCAACCTCAACCTCAAGATCCCAGCTATGAGCACTGCCTTCAGATGCCTAAGAATGACAGTCTTGGATGACCATGACATCCATGCTGATACCAAGAAGCTTGTATATAAGGTAGACACCTTTCCGACTCTTCTAAAAGATTCTGAAACTTGACCTACATATAGATGCCACATCAAGGCCCTCAGAAGTACCATCTGCCTTAGCTGGAAAGACAGGTGTACTAACATCAGCATCCTTAAATCAGCCAAAAACATCAGCATCGTGATCATCTGAAACCATCTCCGCTTGGCTGCCTATCTGTTTAGGTTGCTGGATACTTGCCAACAGGCAAGAGGAACAAGAGAAGGACAATGGAAGCATTTCAAAGACTCCCTGGAAGTTTCTCTTAAGAAATGCAAAATAGATATCAAATGCTTGAGAGACCATTTTTCAGAAGAAACCAACTTGGATGAAGCTCATGTATGAAGGGACACAATACCTTGAGCACACCTATTGTTAAGAGGATGGAAAAGGAACTGGAGAAAGGAATGTCAGCAGCCTTGAGGCCAACGTCCAATTCCACCTCCTCGAAACACTTGCCACATGTGTGGTCAGAGATGCAGCTCTAAGATTGGGGTCATCAGCCATGCAAGGACCCACAGAATCCACGATCAGTTACACGGCATTTCCTAGGTGGACAATCAGACTCATTAATGAGTAACTGCCAGCAACAATGCTAACCAGCTGGACGTTGCAGGAATGGAACCTTTTTGTAGTTATAGTATATTGCTGATTTACATTTTGCCTGTAAACTTTCACCAACTTTTCCAATAACTTCTACTTACTTGGCAAAAGCAGTAAAAAGAAATAATCAGCAACTAGCCTGAAAGTTATGGTCGGCCTTGTTAATAACACTGGGGACTTTTTCCTGCTGCTGAACTCCTTTAGATTTATGACTTTAAGGAAGGGTTAGCTGGAACACTGAAGTTGAAAATAGCACTGCTGGAAACATTTTTTTAAAAATAACACGAATGATAGCAGATCTAAGAGGGTACAAAATAACTGAATATCCTAGAGTTCTTCAAAAAAAAAACTAAGAAGTGATCTGATCGAAATCTTTAAAAATTGTTAAGGAATTTGACCAGGTAAGCATAGAGTCATTTGCACTTGTGGGGTGATCCAAAACTAGGGGCTATAAATGTAAGAAGGTCACTAGTAAAGGATTGTCAGAGCTCCTGAAAGAACATGAGAGTTACTTTGTTGGTTTTCATGTAAAATGTAGACTGACCAGCCAGTGGTCAGTTGGCCACCATCTGATTAACCCTAGTTTCCTACTTCAGCTGTCCAACAATCCTATAACAGTGGATGGTGCCATTCGTCTTTTAGAAGTTGTGCGGAAGAATGACAAGTCAAACTTGGAAAAGATCAACATCAATGTGAGTCTCACTTTGTTTATATGATTTGGGACAATACTGGATAGATAATGACAGAATATCCTGAAGTGTGAAATACTGTCCACATACAGAGGTAGTGGATTTTTTCCTATTCCTATCCATCACTTTGGGTTGCCTGGACACAGCAAATACAGGAAAATTAGGCAGTGGAAGAGCCTGATTAATGTACATTAGAGGTTAATTACACTACAGACAAAAAAAAGCCATACGAATATTCTGGCTTTGGATCACGGGAAAAAATAGAGCATTTGATAAAATTGGTGCAGTCTGCAACAGTTAATTAATCCATTAGATTAGATCAATGACAGTGTACTGCAAGGGATTAAGCATCAGTCCTAAGATTGAGGAAATTAGTCTACATCCAATATTGGTGCAGTTACAACTGGAGTGCTGAGTACAGGGATAGTAGGAACTGCAGATGCTGGAGAATCCGAGACAACAAAGTGCAGAGCTGGATGAACACAGCAGGCCAAGCAACATCATAGGAGCAGAAAGGCTGACGTTTCGGGCCTAGACCCTTCATCAGAAATCTGAGTACAGGGGTCTGGTTAGCTTGACTGAATGGCTAGTTTGCAATGCATAGTAACACCAATAATGCAGATTCAATTCTCAAACTGGATGGGGTTAACATGAAGCTCCCTCCTTCTCAATCCTGCCTGAGGTACAGTGACTCTAAAGCCAAACCACTGACAGTTCTCTCTCTCTTTCGAATGAGAGAGCAGTCCTCTGGGGCTTAAGGTGGCTTTTACCTACCAGGTACAACTCTGCCCATAGGCAAGAATACCAAGACATTTTAGACATTGCAGATAAGGACAACCAAACTAGTTATGGAGTATAATCAATAATAAAGCAATGCTGCAAAATTTGATGCTGGTCAGGCAGTATCAGTGGAGGAATGGATTTAATATTTCCAATCAATGATCTTTTGTCATTCCTAACACTAATTTTTCATACCTGGCTAAAGTTATCCGATGCATGGTGAAAATCAATGCATTCTGGAGAGTAGAAAAATTGGAAAAATTAAAAAATTAACATAGATCTTACGTGGCTAATGAGTTACGGAAACATTCTATTGTTTGATTATGTTGCTGCAGAATGTAATAGTAAATGAAAACTTCATGGAGCTACTGAAGAGCATTACTCATGATCATCCACAGTTTGTGATTGAAACTAAAGGAGTTGGAGGATCCATTGTTGGAAGCCGAAAACCTCAACCTGATCCAATGAAAGTGATCCAGGTAAGAAGAGTCTATGAATTTGACCCCTATTGAATTAGGTCCTACAACATGTAATACTACTTTTAAAAATATCTCACATGCTATAAACCTATTTACATTTATTTATAGAGTTCAACAGTAAAAGCATACACCTCTTAACTTAGCTACAGCACACTTCTTTATAGATCTTTTTAATCAACCCACTCTGAGATGTTATGACACACATCTGGAGCAGGTGGGACTTGAACTGAGGCCTTTTGGCTGAGAGATAGAGACATTACCACTGCACAATAAGAACCTGTCAATTTCTTTACATGCTGATTACATCAATTAAACAAATAAACTACACTAATTAACACCTCCCAATCTTTCTTTTACACTCTTCACTATACCAATAAAACCAATACATTGACTGATACAACTCTCCAATAGCCACTGTCTGCATACAATAAATTAATAAATAATCCATGGTCACAAAAGCTTATGTATCTCATTGTAAGGGCAAGTGTGTTCTTCTCACCTGTTGATGTAGAACAATGGGTTCTATATTTGCTTTTAGGGCTCCCATGGTGCAGTGGAAGTATCCATACCTCAGAGCCAGAAGGTCCACGTTCAAATCCGACCTGTCCCAGATATGTGTCATAACATGCCTGAATTAATTAGAAATATCTAAGCAATTAATAGTAGGTAATTATATTAAGGGCATGAATTCTGGATCTTGATGCTTAACTAGCTGCCTGCAGGCAGATGGTCCTTCCACCCAACGATCCTGTACCTTGGAGCTGGGGATCTTGAAGGCCAGCTGGTTCCATGTTCACCAAACTCAGTTCTAGCCTCCAGCAAGGGTCTAAATTTCCCCAATATAGTTTGAGCACTGGTGCACTGATATTAATTCTGAAGAAGGGTCCAGACCCAAAACGTCAGCTTTTCTGCTCCTCTGATGCTGCTTGGCCTGCTGTGTTCATCCAGCTCTACACCTTGTTATTTTAGCACTGATATTATTTGTGGGACTGGATACAATTCAAATATCACAATGAAGGGATGGAAATTTCAGATTAACTGAACTTGGTTCTAAGAGTGCTTTCAAAAAGTATCTAAGGGATTTTCAGGGCACATATTGCTAAACCTCCCTGACAGAGCTGTTACGGTTATATTATAGATATAAGCAGCATCAGAGGAGCAGGAAAGCTGACGTTTCGGACCTAAACCCTCCTTTAGACCCTTCCTCTGATCCTGCTTGGCCTGCTGTATTCATCCAGCTCTACACCTTGTTATCTCAGATTCTCCAGCATCTGCAGTTCCTACTATCTCATGGTTATATTATATCTGACTTGTCAAGACTTGATACTGAAAAGGACATGAGAAAATGTTCCATTCGCCACCATTACTATCTATTGCCCTGACAGAAGAACAACCAGTGTGTTTGAGAAAGGAGGAAGGGAAAGAAATATGAAAACAAATATTTTAACACTGTCAATGACTACTGTGCAATTGTTTCAAACAGGATTACCTAGATAAGCACAAACTCCGACTCTCTGATTTCTTCCGAAACATGGACAAAGCTGGAAACATGAGCGTGCCTGTCTCCGATTTCAAGAAAGCTTTACAGGTTTGGGGAGATTTTCACAAAAATGCACTTTTTAAATGTCCCATCAACAACATGGCACAGTGGTTAGCACTGCTGCCTCACAGTGCCAGGGACCCGAGTTTGATTCCACACTCGGGCGACTGTCTGTGTGGAGTTTGCACATTCTCCCTGTGTCTGTGTGGGTTTCCTCCGGGTGCTCTGGTTTTCTCCCACAGTCCAAAGATGTGCAGGTTAGGTTGATTGGCCATGCTAAATTGCCCGTAGTGTTCAGGGATGTGTAGATTAGGTGGGTTATAGGAGGATGGGTCTGGGTGGGGTGCTCTGAGGTTCGGTGTGGACTTGTTGGGCCGAAGGGCCTGTTTCCACACTGTAGGGATTCTATGATTCTATGATAACAACAATAAATGAAGATTTGGCAAGTCAGCACTGCAGAATCTTAGGTGTAGAAATTTCAGTCTTCAGCCATAAACTGAGGTTTCGCTATATAAATTATAACTAAAAGCAGCAAACATAAAATTGGAGGTGGTCTGTGCAGGGTGACATTAGGAAACAGCTCTTCAGCACAAAAGATTAGTTAAAATTCAAGGCAGAATCTCTCGCACACAATGCTGACAAGAATGTGGCAGGGTCAATTGAAAAATTCAAACCTAAGATTTTTGTCAGGTAAATGTGGCGAGGGTTACAGTGCCAAAGTGGGTAAATGAATTATGAAAGAGTTCAATCATGATACAAATCAATTAAGCAGCAGACTTGAGGCACTGAATTGTTTGCTGCTGCTTGTCACCTCTCCTGCCAGGAGACCTGCTAACATGGTGTGCAACACTTATCTGCTTTGTACTATTCTCACACATCCATTGTTGTTTGTTTGCAACCAATCCGTGATATCATCATCAAAATACGCCTCAGCTGAACCTTCTTTTTGTCCTCTGGAAGAGGTCTCTGTAGCTTTTCAGTCTCATCACATGGCCAAAATTTTGATATTTTTCTTTCGGGATGTCATTTTTAAGAGTTTTTCTTGCCCTTGCAGTTCCAAGTACCTCCCCATTTGACAATGGCCTATATACTTTTAGCAGTCTTATTATCCACATTTCAAAGGCTTCAGTTTTCTTACATGGATCTTCATTTAATTGTCCAGATTTCTTAAATTTTACAAGAAAATGGACTGAATGTAGCCTCTTGTGCCTTTTCCTTGTTACAAACTCAAGTTTTCTTGTTGGAAACATCTTTATAAAATTACTGGCAATCTCTATCCTTCTTCTAACTTCTGGGTCGCATCTGCCATTTCCTGTTAGCCGTGAGGTGGAGAAGCCGGTGTTGGACTGGGGTGGACAAAGTCAGAAATCACCGACACCTAGTTGTAATCCAACAGGTTTATTTGAAAACACAAGCTTTTGGAGCCTCGTTCCTTCGTCAGGTGTTAGTGAGGCGGTATCAGGCACAGAATTTATAAGTAAAAGACCAAAGGGTCACACCACTGATGAGGATGTATTAAACAAACCATAGATGCTTTTAAATCTTTAATCAGTTAGAAGGTTTTAATTGATTAATATGAAAACATAAATGCCAGAATTCCTTTCAAGTCACTGCCCTGAGGGAACTAGAGGTTTTAACAGTGTAGAGAAAAGATGACATTTTAGGTCAGACAATGCATGTTAGGTGTGAAAGGCCTTGTTCAGAATCTGTTTGTGTTTTGGTTGCAGTTTGACTGGTTTTATTTCTAAAGTAGGGGTTTATAAAATACCACATTGCCAGATTGCCTATAAATTGTGTGCTTTTTGAACAAAATAGAATGTATCTGCAAATAAAAATATACCCCATAGATTACATGTGTATGTGCATATGTGTGTGTGTGTATGTGTGTGAGGGATAGAGAGGAAGTGAATTTGTGTGTGTGTGTGTGTGTGAGGAGTGAGAGAGAGAGTGAGTGTATGTGTTTGTGAGGGGGTTAGAGAGTGAGTGTGCACGGGGAGAGAGAGAGTGTGTATGTATGTGGGGGTGGAGTGTGTGTGTGTGTGTGTGCGGGAGGGAGAGAGAATGCGTGTGTGTTTTTGAGACGGAGGGAGTGTGTGTATGTGTGAGGGAGATAGAGTGTGTGTGTCTGTGTGTGTGTGTGAGGGAGAGAGAGAGTGTGTGTGCATGTGTGTGGGGTTGGTGAGAGAGAAAGAGAAAGAGTGTGTGTGTGAGAGAGAGAGTGTGTGAGTGTGGATTTCAGGCAAACGTCCTCCAAGGTGGACTTCGGGATACATAACAACACAGAGTTGCCAAGTTCCTCAAACAGGATCTTGGGTTCATGTCGCACTACAGGGTGACCCTACAACACAACACACACACAGACACAGACACACACACACACACACACACAGAGACACACACTCTTTCTCCCCTCCTCACTCACTCTCTCTCTCTGTGCTCCCCCTCCACGCACCCCCCACACACACACACTCTTGTTCTCTCTCCCTCACACACACACACACATATGTAAATTTATGGGGTGAATTTGTATTTGCAGATACATTCCATTTTGTTCAAAAAGCACACAATTTATAGGCAGTCAGTAAATGTGTCATTTTATAAATTCTGTTAGTATTTGTCCTACATAGACAAACTTATATAATACTTCAAATGTGATACCATCTGCTTTAATGTTCACTCTAGTTTCTTCAAATGTATTCCTCCCAACCATCATTGTTTCTGCCTTTTTGGCATTCATACTAAATCCATCTTCTAGATTTCACTTGTTCAATATTTTGTAAGGCCTATTCTGAAATGTAAGTAGTGTTACTCCTCATTTTAATATATTTTCATTCAGAGGTGCAGGGATTGCCTAACCCTAATTGCCCTTGACAATTTGATTTGTTATGTCTCCTAGTTTGCGTGGCGATTGTGTATTTCCAAGTCAATCATATAAACAGTCAAGCCATATGACTTGGAGAGGAACCCATGAGTGGTGGTGCACCTGTTGTCCTTTTCTTTCTAAATAGCAGAAGTCAGAGAAATCTTGGTTATTTGCTGCTATGCATTTTGTATGTTGGACACACAAAAGTCACGTTGTACCAATGATAGAGGGAGTGAATGTCAAACAAGTAGGCAGCTTTGTGCTGAGTAATGTCAGGGGTCTTGGACATTGTTGGATCTGCCCATCCAGACATTTCCAAACGAACAGAAAATTATGTCAAAGTAGATTTGGCTTTTCCTCTGTCTACTGCATTGCAAATTTCAGTATCACCACCAGCCCAAGCCATGCCTCACTATAACCCTTAACCAATCTGTGATCCAGAAATGATTGTAGGCAGTTTTGACAGGACCAAATAGGCCTCAAATAGTTTAACAAAGTTAACCTCAGTCGTCATCTACATAATTACATCAAGATACCAGCAAAGTTTGCATAGAAGGGGTTGAAGGAGCTTGATGCAAGTTAGGATAAGGGTGTTCAATTCTGGAAGAGTTTATTTTTAATTAAAGTGGAAGGTGGGAAGCCAGCAAGGAGAATATTTGATGCCAACTGACTCAACCCATTCAATGTATGGTTGAAGGTTTCAGGAGATGATGGACTATGTCAGGTGTGGAAACTACACCTATTTGCTGTCCTGGGGTAGATGCCAAAACAGACCTATTGGGTTGAAAACTGATTTCTATTCAATCACCTCCACAGAAATATTCTCATTCCTTTGTTATTAATCATATTTCACCAGCAATTCAACATTCCATTGGATCTTGTTCAGGTTGAAGAACTACTCAGCAAACTTGACAGAGACAATACTGGATTAATTGACTACAGGTAAGGAATAGGGTACAATAGCTTGCTTATATTATTGGACTAATAATCCAGGGGCATAGACTAATGATTCAGGGATATGAATTCAAATCCCACTGACAGATTATTAGAAATAGGAGCAGAAGCAGATCATTTGTGCAATTGAGCCTACTCCACCATTTAAAAAGATCATGGTTGATCTGACTGTGGCCTTCACTCCACTTTTATTTCCTGTCACCCACACCCCTCCCCCACATCTCACTATCACCATAACACTTTGCTCTGTGTATATAGAAAATCTATTCAACATTCCCTCGCAGATCAAAATGTTGTTCAACTGGAAAATTTAAATTCAGTTAATTAAATAAATCTTGAGCAAAAAACAATGGTGACACTGAAATTGCAGGAGTATTAGAAAAACCTAGCAATTTGCTAATATCCCTTAGGGGTGTAAACCTGATGTCTATATCTAGTTTGGCCAACATATGATCCCAGAGTCATAGCACTGTAGTTAACTCTTCCCTGTCCTTAAAAATGGATGATCAAGTCACTCCATTATATTCACAAATGAGATTCATCACCATTTTCTTAAGAGAAATTGGAAATTGGCAATAAATATAGGCCTTGCCAATGATTCCCGGATCCCATTAATTTTTTTTTGTAAAAGCATGCATTGTTGATTGTTCATGTTTGGTATGACTTTCTTTCCAACTGTAGTGAATATACTGGAGGTTAGAGGAGTGAGATATCAAATCGATAACAATATGTGTATTCTCATTAAGTAGAAATGCCTTAATTGTTCTTCGTTAAAAAAAATCACCAGTAGTTTACTTATTAAATCTCCTTCAATCCTAACATTTTGGTTGATGGTTGAATTCTCAAAGATAAATGAGACAGCATTAGGGGGCTAACTCAATTGTGTTACCCCTCTCTGGGATAGCACACTGGCAATCAAGCTCCTCTATTCCTGGAGTCATCACAAAAGTTAAAGATTTTCCAGAAGAGCACAAATTACTCCAATTTACCTTTCTTTAGACCCAAATTGAAAGAAAACACAGACTAGCTTTCTGTACTTTCCTAGAATTACTATTTATTACAATTAATTACACTCTAGCTGTAGGTAAACAGTTATGAATCTTCTGAATACACCTCCATTAATTAAATATCAAATCCCCTTCTATACTCTCCCTTATATACACATCCACACAAACACAGGAAAAATAAGCATGGGTGTTATGGATGGCGGGAATGTCTGGCAGGCTGTTTCATTGTTCCTATTTGGAGAGTTGCTGAGACGATTCTTATGCTGGTCAGAATGCTGTTTCTTGGTCATCCTTCTCCAGAGGTTTTCACTGGTTTGTAGTTGACACAGTTGACCAGTTGACACTTATTAAAGGTCTCTGGCCCATTAATTAAAAGGCACAGCTAACAGGAAGTACTGAAGGAAAAATAAACATTTTTCCTTAAATTAGTCTTAAATTAGGTTTTACTATAGAGAGAGCTCCTGAGCTGGTGGAGGTTTGAAGGCTTCTCCCTAATTGGTTCCTAGCTCAAAACTGTTCAGCTACCCGAAAACCAATCATATAGTGGTTGGAAGGCAGAAGGCCTTCGTCATCAATAACTGACTACCAGTCCATAGACCAAGGAGCTTACTGTTGTCAACCAAAGCTTCACTTGTACTCAGCTTACCTACAAACTGCACATAAATTAATAATGAACAAACGGCTGCATAAAAGATGCTTGTAATGAGTTTCATGTTAGGTTGTAGACATGCTCACTGAGCCGGTGGATTTGGTTGTAAACGTTTTGTCACCCTGCTAGGTAACATTGTCAGCGCGCCTCTGGTGAAGCATTGGTGTTCTGTCCTGCTTGTTATTTATATGCCTTGGTTTGCTGGGGTGATGGATATTACTTCTGGTTTTGTTTCTTAGTAGTTTGTATAAGCCGAACAGAGACACGCTAGGGAATTCCTGGAGGCCTGGTATTCCAACTGGAACTCCATCAATAAACACATTGAATTAGACCCTGCGTACAAACCTCTGGCTCGGCGAGCATGTCTACAACCTCATCCACAACCCGAGCTACAAATCTTCTCGAAAACATTAAGTGTCATGCTACTTGCTTTGAAACCATGTATCAATCAACCAGTAATCCTTGGTTTTAAAACAGTTCTTTTCTCATTTCAGTCCACAATGAAAAATACAGAGAAATAAAAAGATATGGTCTTTACAACAGTAAAAATTGATCTTTTTATCAACCAATTATTGGTCTCTCCCTCAAAGAAGATTGCTCTCTGTTATTTAAAAATTTATTCAAGTACCATGGGCATCACTGGCAAAGCCAGCACATATTGCCTGTCCATAGTTATGTTTCATAAGGTGATGTTGTGGCTTCTGCTTGAAGCCATGTCATCAGTGTGGTGAAAGTATATAGTGCTAAAGTAGGCAGCTCCTGAACTTTGGTACAGCAACAGTGAAAGCAAGGAATGTCCAAGTTGTAATAGTCTCTGACTTGAAGGCAAACATGATAAATTCAGACCAGGTGCATTTTGGGGGCTGAATAGAGGTAAATAAGTGGAGAATCTCAGCTGTGGTGGGATGCAGAGGTAATGAATGGATACTAGCCAAAGGCAAAATTAAAGGGAAATTATCTTTCACAGAAGCCGTGAGGATCATTCATTGTGTACCGCATCATCTGTTAGAATCTGCATTTCTATCGTGTCTTGCAATCTCAGGATGTCCCAAAGCGTTCCAAAGTCATTGAGGCATTTTTAAATTGCAATCATGTCATAATATAGGAAAATGTCAAAGCCAAACAGTGCTAAGCAAGATCACAAAAAACCGCATGCAATGAATTATCAGACAATCTGTTTACTGATATTGACTATGGATTAAATATTGGTCAGGACAGTGGGTGGACTGCCCTGACTTTCTTCAAATTGTACCAAATACACTCCAGCTGAAAGAACAGGCAAGGCCTCAGTTTAACATCTGATCCAAAAGTAGGCACCACCAAAGGTGCAGCACTGATTTTCAACCAACATTTAATTCTGGCTTCTGTAGTGAGGATTTAATGTTTGACTTTCTGACTGACTGATAGATAATGTCTAATAGCGCTGTATACATTCATACACACAGAATCATACAGGTAATGTCCCCAATACCACCATTACCAATCCTGGTTATGTCATGTCTCAACAACAGGACAGCCCCAGCAGAGGTGAAGATACAGTTGTATAATTGTCAACATTGATTACGGGCCTCATGAAGTCTCATGACATCAGGGAAAACATTAGCAAGGAAACCGCCTGATGATTACTGCCCACCCTCAGCTGACAAATCAGTACTCCCCCATGTTGAAAACTATTTGGAGTAAGCCCTGAGGGTGGCAAGGGCACAGAAGGAGCACTGGGTGCAGAACTTCATTGTCCATCATCAAGAATGCCTCAGCTGCACTGATACTGACTCAGCTAGGCAAGTCATAAAGACAGACTGGGTATGCAGCAGGTGGTGAGGGAGCCAATAAGAGTGTAGACATGAACCTAAAATTTGCTTAGTTAGCCGAAATGAAATTAAGTTAGAATCAAATAAGATGAAAAAAAATGAAACCTGGTCTTTACTTAATGATTAAAAGGCAATGGGTTTTTAAAGTGTTTGTGTAAGGCTGAAAGAATGTGTGTATTTGTTTACATCACAGTAATGGACTAAACTGTCACAGTAACTCAGGAAAAGCTGAAGTTTTGTTTTAAACAGATACAATGAATCAGATTTTTAATGTGGACTACTGTGACTGCCATGGAATTGTGCTTTGTGAATATCAAACAGTTGATTTGATGACATAAATGCAGTGAATAGCGAGTGCAAACTAAGTTTTATGTCAAGGCTTATAGCAGGCAAGAGATGTGTCTTTCCAAGGAGATACAAGCAAGTATTATGTTTCACAAGCAGAAATTGCTGGAAAAGCTCAGCAGGTGTGGCAGCATCTGTGAAGAGAAATCAGAGTTAATGCTTCAGGTCCAGTGACCTTTCCTCAGAACTGAAACTGAAACATTAACTCTGATTTCTCTGCACAGAAGCTGCCAGACCTGCTGAGCTTTTTCAGCAATTTCTGTTTTTGTTTCTGATTTACAGCATCTGCAGATCTTTCAGTTTTTATCAAGACTTATGTTTTCCACATCAGTTTGATTAATTCACTTGGCACGTTTGTGATGTTTGCAAGTGGTAAAATTGATCATTTGCTGAAGACTGGATAATGTCAAGACTTTGAATGTTCAGCTTCTATGGAACGAGTATAAAACAACTTCCCTCACAGTAAAAATTTAGCTAGCTTGAAGAGGTTGATACTAGCTTGTGGAGGTCGATAGATCTCTGACGAGATGTTGAAACAGAATGTGTTGATTACCTGTTATGGCCTGATCCTTGTACAAGTCCACGTAATAGGGTGCACTTTTGATTGCAAGAATTGTATGGGTAAGATTTTTACAGTATTTTTTGTGGCATACTTTGCTTTAATAAAGAACATTGGGTACACACCATTGTTAGAATTTCCTTGGACTATTGATAGCCACAGTAAACCTGATGGACCAGGGAAAGTGGGAATAAAAACTTACAAGATGGAAAAACGTACTTGACCTCATCCTTACCAATCTGCCTGCTGCAGACACATCTGTCTATAACAATACCAGCAGGACTAACCACTTCATAGTTCTTCAAGAGATGAAGTTCCACCTTAATATTGATTGATGTCATCAACAGTGTTATCAAGCAGCACTTGCTCACTGATGCTGACTTTGAGTTCCATCAGGATTACTCAGTTCCTGACCTCATTAAAACCTTGGTCCAAACATGGGCAAAAGAGCTGAGTTCCAGAGGTGAGGTGACAGTGACTGGTCTTGACGTTAAGGTTGCATTTGTAGCACTAAGAAGCCCTAACAAAACTAGACTCACTAGAAATCAGGGGGAAACTCTTTGAAGGAAGATGGTTATGGTTGTTGAAGGTCAATCGTCTCACTCCAGGACTCATTGCAGAAGAGTCCTAGGCCCAGCCACCTTCACATACTTCATCACGGTCTGCCTTCTTTCTTAATGTCAAAAGTGGGGATGTTTCTGATAATTGTATAATGCTCAGCACAATTCATAACTCTTCAGAAAAAACATATGTAGAAACTGCTGGGAAAGTTCAGCAGGTCTGGCAGCATCTGTGGAGAGAAATTAGAGTTAACGTTTCAGATCGAGTGACCCTTCCTCAGAACTCCTCAGATACTGAAACAGTCCAGGTCCAAATGCAGCAAAACCTGGACAATATCCAAGGTTGGTAGACAAGTGACTATCTCCAACAAAACAGAATCTTACATCCCCCCTTGACATTACCATTTCAGAATCCCCCACAAACTTCCTGGGGATTACCATTAACTAGAAATTGAAATGGACAAACCACTTGAATACTGTAGCTACAAGATCAGGTCAGATGTAAATTGTTAATGAAACTAGCTGAAACAGTTGGTTATCAATTTTAAAGATTAGCATCTAATATGGTTTGCTGGTGAATGGTAAACATAGATCTTAACAATGAATTTACCTGATCCTAAAGTACCTCAGCCATCTGCAACAAATTAAACTTCTTTTTATCTCTTTTCAAAATAGCTTCATACTGCCTCAGGAACAATAGATTTTGATAAGTCAGGTGACATGTACAAGAAGGTAAAGGTCAACTAGACAGCAAAAAATAATGGAGAGAGAGAAGATGAGGTTAACTACAAAAACAATGTATGTTATGTTAAATCCCTCTCCCTGACAAACGTTTTGCTTTATTTACTATTAAAGAAAAAAAATGAAATTAAGTTTTGTTAAATTATATTTTGTTTTAAAGGAGATGTATATTCTACAGAATTTACCCATGATCCTAAACATTCTGAAACTATGGTGGACATAAGAAAAGACAAGAATTTAAAGATTACAGTCAATCTGACCCATTTCAAAAATAATAACTCATAGTTTCTCACATTCTCAAATATAAATATTTTACAATTATGCTGGTAAACATGCATAAAGCTTACACTTTTTAAAAGCTACAAAAATAAATATAAGAGAATAAGAAACCATTGAACAAGCTAATAATTTCCCTCCCCATCATTAACTAATACTCTACCTCTTGTTTCCTCAATCTGAAACTGATCTATCTAGTATGGCTGTAGAATAAACCTACTGCACCTGGTATACCCAGGCAGTTTCCCATCTAAATACTAACCAGGCCTGAGTCTGCTTAGCTTCTAAGACCAGACAAGATTGGATGTTTTCAGACTAGCAGACCTTTCTGAAGAAAGATCCCAACCTGAAATGTCAGCTTTGCTGCTCCTCTGATGCTGCCTAGCCTGCTGTGTTCCTCCAGCTCCACACTGTGTTATCTCAGACTCCAGCATCGGCAGTTCTTACTATCTCTGATCCATCTAAGCCTACATTTTGGTTCCCATCTCCCACCATACTAGTTTAAAATCTCACCGATGGAACTGTCAAAAGCCCCAACAGGACATTTGTCCCATCTTTGCCCAAATTCAACCTGTCAGGCTTTTACAGGTCCCACCTTCCCCAGAAATGGTCCCAATGCCTCAAGAATCTAATACCCTTCCTGTTACACCATTTCTCTAGTCACGCATTCATCTGATTCCTGCTCTAGCTAACACATGGAACTGGGAGTAATCCTGAGATTACTAGATTTACAGTCCCACATTGTAAAATATATCCTAACTTCCTTTATTCAGCTTTCAGATCCTCATCTCTTTGTTTAACTACATTGTTAGTAACTATGTGTGTCACGTCCATTGGCTGTTCACCTTCCTACGCCAGAATGTCCTACAACTGCTATGTGACATCTCTGACCCTGACATCAAGAAGGCAACATACCATCCTAGATTCAAATCTGTGGCCACAGAAGCGCCTACCTGTACCCCTTACTGTGGAATCTCCTGCTTGTTTTCCTCCCCTTCTGTATAGCAGAGCCACCTGTGGTGACATGAACTTGGCTGATGCTGCTTTCCTCTGAGAGGCCATTCCCCACAATAGTGTCCTCAGCAGTATACATTTGAGAGGGAGATGACCACAGGAGACTCCTGCACTTCTTTTCTGAGCCTTTTCCTTTGTCTGATGGTCACCCATTCCCTTTCTGCCTATATAATCCTCACCCCGCTAAACATGCTGTCCATGACATTCTCAGCATCACGGAAGCTCCATAGTGAGTCCACCTACAGCTCCAGCTCTGAAAAATGGTAGCCAGTAGCTGCAGCTGGACACACTTTTCGCACATGTAGTGGTCAGGGAAGCTTCCCTTATTTCTCACATTGCGAAAGAGGAGCACACCATGGGTTTGAGGTCTCTGTCGTGACTTCTCTCTAGATTGAGTTAGTTACTCCCTTTAAGAGAATTTAATTAAGCTAGGGACCTTCCTTCATTTCAAACACTTCTATTACAATCAAAAGTTCTGTCCTTTAGTTATGCTAATAAGTTATGCTTCAAAAACTATAAGAAAACACCCTGCAAGTATCACTTACCAATTAACTGTTTGTGTTGGGACTGTGACACTTTCTGAACTGCCCAGACACAGACTGAGCACCACACTCAATCTTTCAGATTCACCTGCTCCCTGTCTCACCTAACTTCCTGTTTTCACCCAATTCCAAAGCATTCCTGTTTAGCCATGCAACACTCACAGTGCAGCCTGGATATAAAAAACTTCCAGATGAAGCAGTTTTCTCCACCTACCCATAAGACCATAAGGAATAGGATCAGGAGTGGGCTGTACAGCCCCTTGAGCCTGCTCCACCATTCAATAAGATCATGACTGATCTGACATCCTTCATGTCCACTTTCCTGCTTTTCCCCCATAACACATTTTTGCCCTACCAAACCAGTATCTATCTATCTCAGCCTTAAGTATACAAAGGGACTCAGCCCCAATAGTTCTCTGTGGTAAGGAGTTCCGAAGACTCACAACCTTCTGAGAAAAGAAATTCCTCCTCATCTCATTCTTTAGTGCAGCAGGTGCTCCTTTGTTCTGAGATTATGCCTTCTGGTCCTAGATTCTTCCATGAGGGGAAACATTCCCTCAGCATTTACTCTGCCATAGAATACTTTAAGTATTCTATGTCTATGTGTTTCTATCAGATCACTTCTTATTCTTCTAAATTCCAATTACTAGAGTCCCAGCGTGTTTAACCTTTGCTCATGACAATCCCTCCATACTGGGGATCATCTGAGTGAATCTGCTCTGACCTGCTTCGAATGAAATGTTTTCTTTACAAATAAAGGGACTAAAACTGCTCACAGTACTCCTGATGTGGTCTTACCAGTACCTTATATGATTGCAGAAAGACTTCTATTCTTATACTCCAACCCCCTTGAAATAAGAGCTAACATTCCATTAGCCTTTGTGCACAAGTGACCCAAGTCCCCTTGTATTGCAGCTTTCTGCAGGTTTTTCTCCAGTAAAATAATATGTTGTTCTTTCATTCTCCCTTCTAAAATGAACAATTTCAATTTCCCACATTAAACACCATTTTGCCCACTTCTGTAACCTATCAATATCTCTCTGTAAACTGTTTGTATCCCTCTCACAATTTGCCTTTCCAGCTATTTTTTTGAGTTCTGCAAATTTACTGGTCACTGGTCACTAACCGAAGAAAGGTTTTGTTAATGACAAAGCAAATTGAATGTATTCATCACTGCCATGGAGCATTTTGCAATGTCACTGATGTTAGCTAAGAAAGGTTCAGAATGAGCACCCTGCTTAATTTATAGTGAGATGTGACACTCACATACCTACTGTGGAATTTAAAATGTAATATGTGATTAGTCTGCTTTGGTTAAAACAAAAACTTTCAATAATTCATGTTTTTTTTAGATTCGTGTTTTCCATACTTCCTTCTTTTGATTCATTTGACCCTTTGTCTCTTCATACAAATTCTGAGTTGAACAGGAATCTGGTTGACACCAGGAAGCGGATGATCTGGCACCAAAGGGAACAACTCCACAAAGAGGAAACCCACCAGAGGAAAGAGAAACAAAAGGTCCAGCGGGTACTGAAAACATTGAACAGTGCAATGAAGGCCATCACTCCGCGAAGTTCAGTTGTCATTGTACCTGGTCAGGTTAAGTTGCCAGCCATCCAACCACTCAAGTCCTTCAGTTCCCAACAGTTATCTGGCACATCATTGAGCTTGTGGCATCATGTAGAAATGTCAAACAGCAGTCAGTACTCAGTACCAATTCTGAGTAACATACAGCTGTACCGCCCAGTTAGCCATTTGGTCTCTGCTGCCAGGTTGGGCTCTTCTGTCCAGGTAAACTCAGTCTCACAGCCTGACCTGCTGCCTAAATCACCTGTCACACCCAAGTGAGACCTTTGATCTGGAATTGGACCCTGTTACAAAGTCTAGGACACCTACTTCATTTTTGACGTCACAAGCTGTAACATCTGGCCATAAGAGGAGAGAGCTGAAGACTAAAATGTAGTATCTTCATCTTTTTATGGGGACTTTACCAGCCTATATATGATTTATTTTCAGTCAGTCACCAAATCCCTTCAATCATTCCCCATTACTCACTTCCCATCAGCTACTTCTCAATTATCTTCCAATAGTCACCTCCCAACAGTTCTTATTCTAACCACCTCCTGCATGATCTGTAAATCAAGAACCACTTTCAAGGAAAGCAAGTTCCTGCCAACCTTCTTTCCCTCTCCTCATTTCAAGGAATGGTCTCTTTGCTGTGGTATGTATCCACTGATCTTAGTCCCTCAGAAAGTAACTATTAATCATGCATGAGTCTTTTATAGCAAGTAGGCATGATCTTCTGCTCACCACTACCTTGCATAAGCCAAGAAATGGAGACCATGGGTGCCCTCCCTAGACAACTGATACTATGCATAGATTAAATGAACTCCACATGGGAATCAAACCTGGGATGGTCATGGCGAGAATGGTTTTGTGATTCACAGGATTTTTACCAGCTAAATAATCGGGGAGTTTCTTTCCGAAGCTTTTTAATGCACTTCTTTGTGACATATGCCTCATGTAATGTAACTGGCAAAAGAACCAGAGACAAAATTAGATTATTTTTGAGCGGTCATTGTCTGGAAAATATCAAAAACTTGGTAGAAATAGATTCACTAACACATTCAAAAAGAATTGTTTAAATATCTGAAGGGAAAACTTTTGTGAGGCTATGGAGAAAGGGAAAAGGAGTGGATTTAACAGGATAATGTTTTCAATGGTAATTAGTACCTGAAAGTTTAGCTGACATCAAAGATAAGCTCCATCCATCAGGATATAAATGTCTGCTCCTGGGAGGAATTAACCATCATTTTATGCTTCTTATGAGTTCTGCATTTGTTCACCAATTGTTTTATGCTTCAGTGATTATTTTTAGTGTTAAATTAGAAAAGTGTACTCAGTCTTAAATTGAATCTGATTGTCTATTGCAAGACAATCATTTTTCTCAACTGTAATATAACTAGCATCTAATTGATATGTAATAAATGTATTTATTGTTCATCAAGACTGAATCTATTTTCTGCTCAGAAGTTGGTATGGGCATCCTCTCTCACATGGTATCAATAGCTTAGATTGATACCAACGAGAAGGATTGGTGGCAATGAAATTCCCCAAGGCATCCAAGGTAATTGCAGCAGAAACCAACATATACAAGATGAATAGTCATTTAGTAGAATAGAACTTGAGAACTGCTGGAAAAGATCTTGTTAAATCTTTTCCTCTTGCACGAATCATGACAATTCACAAGAATACTACTTCAATGGGAAAACAACATTTATACTGCATAAGAGGAGATTTGATATGTTTGGCCAGTGGACTCATATTTGCACTTATATACTGCAAAGTCATGAAAAGTCCTAAGGCAGTCACTCTTGATCCTGAAAAGTACCACAGATTATCCTGGAAGCATAATGTCTCTCAAGTATTTCGCAATAGGTGAAGTTAACTGTTTGACATAGCCAGTATGAAGAAGCAATACGAGTAGTGTTCACCACTAACAGACCACAGATATAGGAGCAGAATTAGACCATGTCTGCTCTTCCAGTCGATCATGGCTGTTGGCTCTCAATCCCATTCTCTTACTAATCAAGAATTTATTTATTGCTGTCTTAAAGACACTCAATGACTTGGCCTCCACAGCCTTCTGCAGCAATGAGTTCCACAGCTTCACCATCCTCTGGTTGAAGAAATTCCTCATCATCTCAGTTCTTAAGGGCCATCCCTTCACTCTGAGACTGTGCCCTTGGGTCTTACTCTCTCCTACTAGTGGAGACATCTTTTCCATGCCCCCTCTAACCAGACCTCTCAGTATTCTGTAAGTTTCAATTAGATCCCCTCCTCATTCTTCTAAACTCCATCAAGTGCAGACCCAGAGTCCTCAACTGTTCCTCAAATGATGAGTTCTTCTTCCCCGGGATCATTCTTGTAAACGTCCTCTGGACCCTCACCAATGCCAGCACATCCTTCCTTAGATACAGAGCTAAACCTGCTCACAATATTCTAAATGTGGTCAGATCAGAGCCTTATACAGCCTCAGTAGTATATTTCTGCTCTTGTATTCTAGCCCTGTCGAAACGAGTGCTAACATGGCATTTGCCTTCCTAATTGCCAATTGAACCTGCACGTTAACCTTAAGAGAATCCTGAACTAGGACTCAGTCTCTTTATGCTTCAGATTTCTGAAACCTTTCACTGTTTAGAAAAGTCTACCCCTCTATTCTGCCTATTAAAGTGCATAACCTCACATTTTCCTTTATTGTATTCCATCTGCCACCTCTTTGCCCACTCTCCTAGACTGATCAAGTCCTTCTACAGTGTCTCTGCTTTGTCAAAACGACCTGTCCTTCCACCGATCTGTGTCATTGGCAAACCCAAGCAACAATGCCCTCAATTCCTTCATCCAGATCATTAATGTTTACTTGAACTGTTGACATCCTAACACTGACCCCTGAGGAATTCCACTAGTCACTGGCTGCCATCCTGAAAAAGATCCCTTTATCTCCACTCTCTGCCTCTGCCAGTCAGCCAATTGTCTATCCATACCAGTACCTTTACCTCTAACACAATGGACTCTCATCTTATTTAGCAGCGTCCCGTGCAGCAGTTTGTCAAAAGCCTTCTGGAAATCCAAACAGATCATGTTCACTGGCTCTCTTATGTATAACTTGCTTGTTGCCTTGTTAAAGAATTCTAACAGATTCGTCAGGCAAGACCTGATCTCGATAAAGCCATGCTGACCAGTCCTATTTTACCATGCACTTCCAACTAGTCTGCAATCTCATCCTTAATCATTGATTCTGAAATCGTTCAAGTCCTCTGTGACCCTTCCTGACTCCAGTGACATCACTGCCAATCCCTCCACAATCCTCTCAGTTATTTCCTTCAGGACATTAGTGTGCAGTCCCTCCCATCTGGGTGATTTGTCCACCTTCAGACAACACAACTTCCCCAACACCTTCCCCTTAGTGATGGCCATTACACTCACCTCTGCCTCCTTCAACACTGTGGGTTCTTATCTTATGATTTAACCTTTTGTGAGGTACCTTGTCGAATGCCTTCTGGAAGTCCAAATACAAGTCATTTACTGATTCCCCTCTGTCCACTCTGGTTGAGACATCCTTAAAAAGCTGCAGTAAATTAGTGAGACACGAATTCCCCTTCATGAAGTCATGCTGACTTTGCTTGATTAGATTATGATTTCCAAATGTTCTGCTATTACTACCTTAATAATTGATTCCAATACTTTTTCAACAATATATGTTAGGCTAATCAGCCTACAGTTGCCTGGTTTTTGCCTCCCTTTTTGAATTGGGGTGTCACATTGCCATTTTTCCAATTCTCCAGGATTCAAGGATTTTTAGAGTATTACAACCAATGCATCTGTCCATGTAGCTACTTCTTCTAGGATGCTTGGATACAAGCCATCAGGGCCAAGGGACTTATCTGCTTTTAGCCTCATTAGTTTTGTCTAATACTATTTCTCTAATGATGGTGATGGTACTTAATTCCTCCCCTGCATTCAGTATTCATCGGATGTTCAAGGTATCTTCCATCATAATGACTATTGCAAAATATATGTTTAACTCCTCTGCCATTTCCTTGTCTCCATTGAATCCCCAATTCATTTTCTAAGGGGCCTATGTTCACTTTAGTCTCTCTTTTTCTTTTTATATATTTAAAGAAACTCTTATTGTCAGTTATTATATTCCTCTCTCTAGTTTGCCCTCGTAATTTATTTTCTCTCTCTTTATTATCTTGTTTGTCCTTCGTTGTTGGATTCTGACTTAATCCCACTCTTTGGAGCGAACATCCTAGAAGGCAAAAATAACTTATTTATTAAGAACAAACTTATTCTTTAAACAAGTGGCAAAATAACCCTAAAACACACACACACACACACACACACACACACAAGGGCAGGACAAAAAGACACAGCCATGCAGAGAATTAAATCAGAAGCAAAAACTGTCCTGAGGAAGGGTCACTCAATCCAAAACATTAACTCTGATTTCTCTCTACAGATGCTGCCAGACCTCCTGAGCTTTTCCAGGAATTTCTGTTTTTGTTTCTGATTTACAGCATCCATAGTTCTTTCAGTTTTTACAGAAAATTCAATCTTGTGAATCAACAGTCCAAACTAAAAGTAAACCAAGATAAAAGGGTGGAATGAGTTGACTTCTCACGATGGTTTCCTGTCATTGAGATCAAGTTGCTGTTGGTCACAGATCAATGGAAGATCTTCACACCCGATTTTGGATTCAAATGGGTAACAGTTGGAAGCTCTGATATCTGAAAATCATTAGGTTTATTTTCCCAAACCGCTTGGGGGAATAAGAGATTTTTGATGATTTTTGCTTTAAGAATTTTTGTCTTCCTAACACAGAAAGAGAAACATTTTATTTTCAGCCAGCCTTCCTTTAGCTGCCACTTTTCAGCAGAGACAAATTTTTTTTTAATCTCCAGCTCAGGTGTTTTATCCCAACTGACCAAACAATTTACACTTTGGAAGCTTCCTTAAAACAGCTGGTCAGGCCATGTACCAAAAATAAATTCTTATTTCCGCAGATATGAGTAACCCAGGTTTACATCGCTCAGGGCTCAGAGCTTGTAGTAAGTATAAATGCAGCGTGATTCAGTTTAGTGACAGAATAAACTATCTCCTGTACTTATAAGGGTAGGTGTCACCTTCTTCTCACTGAATCTCACAATCATAGGGTCATCACTCAGTATAACTCTGCCATTGTATAGCTATGTTACATAAGCATGCCCATTTCATTATCACATGCATGAAGTGCACTGACGGGTTCAAGTCAACCTTTTGCTCACAATCCTCTGATTCATCCCAGA